CATGTGTGCCCAGTTTAAGAAATATTTGTAAAAAATGACTTTTAGGTGTGCCGTGTGACACAAACATATAGGGGGGTTTTCTCAAATGTGACTGCAAAATACACTTGAAAACACACCATGTGTGCAAAACGTTCCTATTACATGAGTCCCAGTGTAATAAGACAACAGGAAAGTGCAGACGCGTTGTTACGGCATATTATGTACCTTTTCATATGCAAGCAGGCCGGTAGGTTTCATTCAAGGCACCTCTTTAACATTTTACAATTATTACAGAGATTATTGATTAAAATACCAGAAACGCTAACAAGGACCTGTCATTGCCAGCACCCAGTGGCTAAACCTTCCAGTGAGGCAGGCACATTAATGCTGGTATGGCAGAGGTGGGCAACTCTAGTCCTCCTGCTGTTGTTGAACTACATGACCCATGAGGCCTTGCAAGACTCTGACAGCCACAGGCATGACTCCCAGAGGCATGAAGGGATTTGTAGTTAAAGCTCAGCTAGAGGGCCTGAGTTGCCCACCCTTGTACTAAGGCCTCATTCACAATGATGTGCACAGCCGTACAGTGTTCAAGGGCGTGCATCCAAGCCTGTAAGTTTGGGACGGCATTTACCAGCATGCAGCTGCGTCCTGTCAGTGAGCAGAAACATGCAGCGATCTGCTCACTTCTCGATCATCTCCCTGCAGAGAGCAGTGACTGTCACTCACGGCTCCCTGCAGGCATTCCCCCCCACTCCCCTCCCTCTCCAATCCTCCAGCGCTGACTGGAGGAACGGACAGGGAAGGGGGCGGGCACAGCTGGTCATGCCTCTAGATAGGCAGAGCCAGCTGTCACTCACACATGTGGGTGGATCTCAACAGTAATGTCGGGATCCGTCCTGGCTGCATCGCTCACAGTTAACCGCGGGCAATAGCTAGCGATATACTGAGCTTTGGGTCACGACAGGTTAGGATATGTCCTCCTGTGACCCTTAAGAGAACTATGGGGAAAAACACTTACCCCATAGTTCCCTTTTAATCACTGCAGAGTTCTTATTCTGAAGCTGGCCATCCGCTCTCTGGCTGACAATTTTCCGCCTGGCTCCGTGAATTTTTCCATCAAAGGATGTTGGACAGGAGACAGCAGACTCATCTAGAACTGGATGAAATTCCCTCAGTGCATAGCCAGCGTTAGTCTTTATACATACTAAATAGAATATTTCACCAAGTAAACAGCAACACACTAAACACTACTCACACCAGCCAATCAGAGCCAACTATTCACTGATATGACAAAAGTAAACTGAAATCTAATTGGCTGATGATGCTTCCTTATTATTCTGTGCCCCGCTGTATCTAGGCCTTTTGTGTGCAGTTGTAGGTTACGCTCTGATCTTTCCAGATCCTCTATAGCTTGTTCACAAAGAACACAAACAAGGAAACAATGTCTGCTTATCCACAAACAGAACACAGCGAGTGTCACATGTGACGAGAATATTCTCACGTGTCACTGTGATACATGTGCCAGCCTGCGTTGTTAAGCCCTTTCATGTCTTGCTGAATCTATCCTCTGTCTTATACAAAGAAACATTTTAATCCAATTCAGATATGTATCACGTTTGTATTATTTTATTATGCAATATTAAAATAAAATATCTTCACATTTCATTGGAATACATCTCTTTTATGTATACACCTAAACATATATTAGAACAGGGGTGCACAACTCTGGCCCTGCAGCTGTGCTTAAACTACAAATCCTCGGTCTCTGAGAGTCATGCCTGTAACTGGCAGTCTTGCAATGCCTCATGGGACTTGTAGTTCCACAACAGCTGGAGGGCCGGAGTTGCTCACCCCTGGGTTAGAAGACGTACATATAAAACAAAACAAAAAGGTGTCACACTATTTGGTCTTTCATGACAGCTCCAGTAACTTTGTGATGTTATGAGTTCTTGTCCCTGCAGCATGCTTCTTTTCTTTTTTTCCCACCCGCACAGCTGCATCATCCCATTCACACAAGTCCCATCCCCCACCGCAGCAACAGGACTCACATATGTCAATGGCGCACAAATTAATGCACTTGTTGTCTATTGTTCACTTCCTCCAGCCCCATAACTGAAGGCTGAAGGAGAGTCTGCAGGAGCCTGTGAATTGCACACGCCATGCACCGATAGTGGTTGCAATGCTCTGCAGGCTTCAATGCAAAAATTGAATAAATGCACATTATTTTTGATTAATGTGACTGCATTTATTACATTACAAAAGGTGGAATATGCCCCCCCCCCCCATATGTTTGTTATGTGTTCCCATCCACACAGCATATCTACAAATATTTTTCTTAAAGGGCAGGTTCACACCATTTTGGTCCGGAAAATGGTGTGAACCTGTCCGCAGTTCCAGTGCGGCGTGAACAGAGGCCAGGAATAGCATAGGGATACATTGGGATGCATTTTGGGTTTGGAAACCATGTGGTCTGGAGATGATGTGGTGTGAATGGGCCCTTAATGTTTCTTACCTTTCTAGTTGTTTGTTTGGAGCAGGATACTACATCGGACCCTATAGAATAACCTGCTGAACAATACACTATGGGAACACTCAGGGACAATTTTTTTTCCATGTGCATCTGTCATGGTCCTTGGAATACTTTATCTCCTGGGACGTCTCTGTGTCATTATACATATCAGCCCTCCCATTCAAGCTATCGGACCAATCCCTGCTGACCCTGTTTCAAGTCCTCATTTGCATGGCCACACATATCAGCCCTCCCATTCAAGCTATCGGACCAATCCCTGCTGACCCTGTTTCAAGTCCTCATTTGCATGGCCACACATATCAGCCCTCCCATTCAAGCTATCGCACCAATCCCTGCTGACCCTGTTTTAAGTCATCATTTGCATGGCCAAGAGGACCTAGGTGAGGACTAGAAGGCACTTTATAATTGACCAATAGGAAGCTGTTGGTTTGGGGCGGGGTGTTCAAACTGCTGTGAATAAAAGTGTGTTGTGTGCATCCAATAAAGGAGATTCCTGTTTGAACTTAGATACAGCCTGCCTGGCGTTTGTTCTGAGCTATCACAACTGGATTCGAACGGCACATAGCTGTAGTTAGAATCCCGGAGCATCGGACGACCGAGAAATCAGACGTTGCGGTCTGACATCTGATCCAGTAATAGCAGAGGAGTGCTCGCTCGTTACAGCATCAACATACAATGTAGCACCCAAGCCTTCATATCTTTAACCCTTTGTTAGGACAGTGAGCATATCTAGTATACAACTGATAATGAGATCTGCCACAGTACAGACAGGGTTAATTAAGGTAAACATACCTCCCCAGCCCCCTCCTTATTTCCAGTACCAAAGCCATTTTTAACTTTTGTGCACATTTTAGGCATGAAGATTACTGAAACCCCCCCAAATGATTAGTGACCATAGAGAATAAAGTGTCCAAAGCTGCAATTTTGTATGTCACACTAGATTAGCACAACCGTTTATCAAATCTACATTTTCAGTTGTAAATTCCCCAAAGTGAATTTTACTCCAAACACAATATAATCCCCAATTTATTTGTCAAATATAAAAGATAAAGTTGAACCAAGTAAATAGACACCAAACCTGTCAAGCCCTAAAATTGCGTGCACCCGTGAAACGGCGACAAACTTTGGTAATCACAAGTGTCCATGAGTGATCCTTTAACAGCAGGTCCTAATATTATCACTCTGGTGTGGGTGGTGATACCTAACATGTGGGACGGTTGCAGTATTCATATGTAGGCGCACCCATTTGGGGGACATGTTTACCATTATTAACCCCATCTATACTGAGCTGGCAGGTCTTCATTATCAGTTGTAAACACGATGTGCTCACTGCCTGTCCTGACAAAGATATGAAGGCTTGGGTGCCACATTTTATGTTAATGCAGGGTTGGGAAACTCCGGCCCTCCAGCTGTTGTGGAACTACAAGTCCCATGAGGCACTGCAAGACTGACAGTTGCAGCTATGACTCCCAGAGGCATGTTGGGATTTGTAGTTAAAGCACAACCGGAGGGCCAAAATTGCCCATCCCTGGGTAAAAATAATTTACTGGGCATGTGTAAAATAATTGTCCCTATAGTGCAGGGGTTGGCAAACTCTGGCCCTTCAGCTGTGGTGAAACTACAAATCCCATGATGCATGTCTCTGGGAGTCATACCTATGGCTATAAGAATCTTGCAATGTCTCATGGGGCTTGTAGTTCTACAAAAGCTGAAGGGCCGGCATTTGCCCAGCCCCGCTATGGTGTATGGTTCCGCATGTTACTGCGAACAATACAAGCTGCCTGTAGAGTCTGATGTAGAAACTAGACAGGTAAATATTTTCTATAAATGTATTTTTAGGTGTACTGTGTGAATGGGAATACATAAACATATAGTGGGGGGTTTCCTAATTGGCTGCAAAGATGGACATACACATGGAAGGGGAAGCTAGGTAAGATTTATAGGATTTTTTAAGCACAGGAAAATTTAAGCAGCAATAATTAAACGTGTCTGTAAAGTTCTACAATGTGATCAGGAACATGTAACAAATATAAAGTAGGTGCCATCCTGATTTGGATGCAGAAGTGGATATGCACTTTAAGTGGTATCAGGTGTAGAAGGCTTAGTAGAGAACATGACATGCTCGGGTGTTGTGACGTATGTACATGTCATATACAGCATGTATGTATTCTCAGAGCTCAGTACTAGACCGATTCAGCAGGACCACTTTGTGCCCCCAGACACAGCACTGATTACGCAGCTTGTTATGATGTGTGATATGTCCTTGTGGGATCTGGTGTATGTAAACACATGGCTCTCCCCTCAATGCTGCCTGTCCCCTTCTATAGGCTGGAGCCCCACTTTACACAGGCTCACCCCCACATCCAACACTTTCCAGGCACAATGTAATCTGAGCACCACATCCTCCTCCCCTGCTTTTTGGGGCATGTAGCGCTGATCTACGGCGTGCGGTGTAAAAGGGAGCACAGTGTAGACACAAAGCACCCACCTTCCACCGTCTCCTCCACGTTTTCATCATCGCTGTCCATGGCTTCCTCCGCGATTGACAAGCAGCAAGTTACTGAGCGAGCGTGTGACTCCCAGGCGCCCCCTCCCACCTGCTTCTAGCGGCACACCGGCGCCCCCTGTGGAGGTCCGCGGTACTACGCCTGTGCCCTGGAGCTGTGTGTGGGGAGTGTGTCTTTTCACTTCTACTATCTTATCTACAGCTAATGTGGGTGACATCAGCCTGCCCAGCGCCACCAGGATCCTGTCATTTCCCGCGATTCTCATTTCTCACATCTATTCCCATCCATGATTGCCCTGCGGGATTCACTATGGTTCCTGGAGCGTTTAGGGGTGCTGGTGCCTCCTACTTGGGGAGAAACCATAGCTTCAATGAGTACATACCGGTATTATATTATAGTACAGCCAGTGGGTGACATCAGTCTACCCAGTGCCACCAGGATCCTGTCATTTCCCACGATTCTCACATCTATTTTTCCATACATGATGGCCCTGGGGGATTCCCTATGGCTCCTGGAACATTTGGGGGGGGATGCTTCCTACTTGGGGAGAAACCATAGCTTCAATGAGTACATATTTTCACATATTTTATACATTTTTTGCTTCTTTTTGTTTCTGTTATTGACAAAATGAAATACAAGAAAACCAGAAATCACATCAATAGTGACAGCTGGCTCTGCCTATCTAGATGGCTCTGCCTATCTAGAGGCAGAGCAAGCTGTGCACACCCCCTCACCTGTCCATTTCTCCAGTCAGCGCTGGAGGATTGGAGCAGGGAGGGGGGGGGGGGGACCCGGGCGGGGTTTCTTTAGTTATGGATAGAGTGGGGAAGGATTAGAACTCCTGTCAGGTTTTAATAGAGTTGAAGGCCCCACTGAGAGATGCTTTCACTTCCTGTCTAGTAAAAAAAGATTGTTCCCAGGACAGGAAGTGAGGGGAAATCTCTCAAACAGCAAGACAGTCACCGCTCTCTACAGGGAGATGATCTGGAGGTGAGCGAGCGGCGGTATGTGTTTGTTCACTTCCCGATCAATAGAGCCGACGGCTCTAACTATGAGGATGAGTGGAAATCACTCACCTCATAGTTCTCCTTTAACTTTATTGTGATCACATAGGGAGATAACAAGTACCCTATGTGATAGAACAGATACATTGACAGGTGCTCTTTATGTAGACATTAGGGGTCTACTAGACTCCTAATGTCAACTGGGGGCCCCAAAGAAGCTGATGAAGCAGAGATGTGCTGACTTAAAAGCGGAAGGGATGTAATTCACCTCACATCCACTTTCAGTGATTAGAGGCGAGATCAGCCGCTGTAAGTGTGCCGATTTCCTTCCGATCTCAGTGCAGAGACCTGCTGTGCTGGTCCTGGGCCCAAACACTGAAACACTGGACAGTGAAGCCGTTATAGCTAGCAGTGGCGGCGGAGAAAGGGGCACCACACACTCCCCAGCTCCATACAAGTGATCGAGCAGCTATAGAGTGCTTGTATGTAACAGTCGTCACAGACTGTTTAACTTTTTAAACTTTCCCGCTCGCGCGCCCCTCGGGGAGAGTGGAGGGGGGGATGTTTATAAATGCCCCCACCAGGGGCGTAACTAGAAATAACAGGGCCCCATAGCAAAATTCTGTATGGGGCCCTTTGATTTCTAGTTATGCCCCTTGCAGAGCCCACCTGATATACCAAACAGCCCTACTGAGAGTGACCCTGCAGAGCCCACCATAGACTCTCTATGGTGGGCTCTGCAGGGTCTCAAGTGGGCTGCACACCTCTTACCTGTCAGCGCGGTCTACCTCCTCTTCCGTCCCCGGGCCCAGCCTCTTTCATCGTCGGGCGCTGTCTTCTCCTCTATCGATGGGCCCCGCCACCTCTTACATCACTGGCCCCTCCCACTCTTAGGTCGCCGGGCCCCGCCTCCTCCTTCACTGCAAACGCCGGTTTCTGCAGAAGCTGCTGGCTGTCACTGACACAGCTCAGCAGCGGCTGTGAGGAAGAACGCACCACTGCACACATCACTGACAGGTTGTCAGTGATATAACAGCGGTGCGTTCCTCTTGACAGCCAGCACCCTGATATGCCATAGCTACCCAGGCGGCCCGCACGGCATCAGAGGGATGCCCTGGCCCCCCCGTACACGGGCCCCATAGTGGCCGCCTGGGTCGCTATGGCGATTGTTACTCTATTGGCCCCCCTCCCAATTACAACAGCCGCACAGCAAGTGGTTAAAGCATATTAAAACCTACAAAAGTGCAATATATTGCAGCCTACCAGTCTTTAGATGAGATGGCTGCATTTGTTTTTGTTTTTTACAATTGTTTTTTTCCATAGGCAGAACAGCAATTTGTTCTATGTCTATCCTATGGTAGGTTTACTTTGGCTACTGGATGGTCAGCGCAATCTATAGCTGCCGGCAAAAGATAAATGGCTGGGATTATCAACAACTGTTATCACTGTATATTTACAAAGTAGTGATAACACCAGTAGTGTATGATGGTTTACAAAAATCTAACAGAGAGTATAGCTGGCCATACACCATTTATAATTGTATTTTCTTGTATAGCCCCCCGGTAAAAAAAAAAAAAAAAAGAAATAAAAAATGTAAACAGTGACAGCTCCGGCAATGTGTGATACAACCGGAGCTTAATCCAAGATATGGTCATTCGCACTCCTGACCGGAAACAAACCCAAGGGTCGGTCAGGTGGGTGCCGTAGTGACTGCAGATGCCTCCGCCACTAACATGAAATTGATTAAATAGTCCCTCGCACTCCAATTTCCTACTAAGTCAATTCCTCTATTGACTATAGTAGTGTCACAATCATAACAACGTTTCGGAACAAAGTGCTTCCTTCTTCAGCCCAACAAAAAGTTGTTGGGCTGAAGAAGGAACCACTTGGTTCCGAAACGTCGCTATGATTGTGACACTACTATAGTCAATAAAGGAATTGACTTAGTAGGAACTTGGAGTGTGAGTGACTATCGATTTCATACAGCCAGAGCTCTCGCAACCCACTAGCCTGTCCACTGAAGCGCTGGCTAGTGTAAGTGGGTCCACAATATGACTGCATTGACAGCCAGAGATGCGTACAATACTGAGCTGAATTCACCATGACTGTTGAGAGTTATAGTTCAACCTCATAATTTTGTTGTTTCCCATGCAATCCCTGCCACTCACCCAAAATATGCCTTTCTCACACGTCGGCAGAACATAGCTCAGACTGTCTCATGCAATGATGGCTGTCAATGCAGTCACATTGGCTGCTACGTTCTCAGGACTGCATGTTGTCAAGGTGGCAGCCCAGGATTTAGCTAGGTGTCTGCCAGCAGGGGAGCCCTGAGTATCCTGGAGTTCTTTCGTGGAGAGGAGGGAAACTGGTGCGGGTATTGTAAGAGCAAAGCTGGAAATGTATCCCATGGTGAGGAGCTGAGGAGTTTACTTTTCCCTAGACTTATGGGACCCATGTCCCATAGGTCTAGGGATGGCAAGACATGCTGGGACCTGTGAGAAGTAAACCCCTCAGCTCCTCTCCTTAAGGTAAGTAAAACAAGGATTTTAGAAAGGGATTTTTTTTAATCCAGTGATCAGACAGCAAGAGAGGGGTGGGCAGGAGGTGAAATTGATCATGGAGTTGGATTTCCAAGAGCCTGTTGCTACTTTGGGAATACTTGTCCTATTTCTGTGCTTTTTGGGGGGTATCCTGCAACCAAAAACTCCTCTCCTAGAATTGAGTTCAGTAATAAAAGGTAAAAAGACTATAATAATGTATTAGCTGCATATATTTTTTGCAGAATACCAGAATTTTCACAAAGAGGTCACCAATGGTTGGCTCCATATTCTCCACCGAACCATACTGAAATGGCTCTTCTGTACATTTTCTATAGAAGTGTTGTCAACAATGGAAGCAAAGCCCAAGCTGTAAGCTCCATATGTGAGCTCCAAACCAACTTGTCAGAGCTCACATAGGGTTATGGACGCTTTCCCCGCTCCTAAATTACAGTGTTAGAAGGCTCACTGTTACATTGGAGAGGAAGACTGAGTCACATCCTCAGCAATACCTGTGTATATCACTTCACTTCCGACAGCTGAATGGATCGGCAGGGGTAGGAAGTAAGGGGATTACATGCTGCTAGAGATAAGGGGAGTTAAGGAACCCTTTTACTTTGGGCCCTGGATGGACTAAGGGATGGTTCAATTTAATGTACCTATTACATATGTTTTAAAAACCTTGCCTCTTTGCATAGCTTGTAATATGGGCAGCCATATTGGCTGTGCCGTGCTAATCCTTTTCTCTTAATGCAATTCTCCCAAACTGGCAGGGTTTGTCTGAAAACAACTAGACGGAGAAACACTCATAATGCTGCAGGGGGCCAGAGATCATGTCATACTTGGCTGGGCAGCTGATGAACTACTTTTTTTAATTAATGGCAAGAAAGAGGCACTTATTTTACTTTAATGTTATTTAGCTAAGCTGACATGGATCTGTGGATTTTATGTGAAATGGTCCACTTTAAAAGCAAATCCTGACCTGTTTTTTGTGATCTTTTAATGTTGCTGTACATTTGACAGGCTCACTTTAATAAAGAAAGGCTCTCTTTCCAGCAGCACTGAGTCAGCAATGTGTACATACTGTATATTTGTGAGATAACAATTTTTAGGAAACAGTCTGGATTAGTGTAGTCAATAAGTCCTGTTCAGATTTGAGGATGTAATATGTGAGTAATAGTACAACAGATGGGAAGAAGAATGATATTCCCAGCAATATAACATCCTATCCCCTAAGTTCCCATTGTGTAGACTCCTAAGGGCTCATGGAATTGCAGGCGGTACTATACTAATAAATAAATGACACAGACACCAAATATTTGGAACAAAAAATGGCCGCGGCACTTTTATTGGTTTAATTCTTCTTAAAACTGAATTTAATCAAAACCGTTACATCTTAAACCATCAAACCAAACGTAGATTGCTCAGTCACAAAACTTCCGAGCCAGGGGTTTTCCCGCTCAAACTATCAGGTGATTTTTAAAAAAAACATTTTTTAAAGGGGAAT